TGAGGAGGCTACTTGGGAACTTGAACAGGAGGTTCGCTCCAAGTATCCAGAGTTGTTTTCTTCCTCAGGTATGACTTGATTTCGAGGACGAAATATTTTAAAGTTAGGGAGAATTTAATAGTTATGCTTATATATATGTATATGTATATATATTAAAGTTAAGATTTTTTTCAAAAGTAGGTGGGCCCCACCAATAACTTAAAAACATGACTAAAGGCCATAAGGCCATTATGCAGACATATATTTCTCTCTCTCTCTCTCTCTCTACTTCCGGCCTTCTCTCGGCATCTCTTTTCTTTTTCTCTTTTTGTAATTTTAAGCTTTGATCTCATCTTCACCAATTGGATTTTGGTAGAACATTGTGAAGCAAAGTTGTTGAGCTCGTCGAGCCGTTAATTTGATAGGAGCCAATCATCATTTGGTGCACTCTAGGGAGTTCAAAATTCTAGGGTTCTTGGGCTCAAATTGGGGGTTTTCATCAATTTGAGGTAGGGGTGTTCTAATCTACAACTTCTTAGCTCTTTTTGTGAATTTTGCCCCTTAAATTTGATCCTAAGCATGCTAATTTTGATTATCTAGTTTGTGGTTGAAGCATGTTTAATTAAAATGTTAAATGTGTTCTATGTATTATTTGAATTCATATATATGACTAGATTTATTACGGTGATTGAGCATGTTTGGTGTTGACATGTTGTATGTCCTAAGATTATGTATTTATTTATTGCTTTGAAAGAAAATAATGCTATGGTCAATAAATAAATAAATAAATAGAAGAAATGAATGCTTATAAATTTCTATTAAATTGTGATAATGATGTAAATGGAATGTATGAAAGCCTATAGTTGAATTGATAAATTGAAGCATGCGCATTCATGCATTCATTGGGAAAGAAAAAAGGAAAAAAAAAAATGTTTTTTTTTTAACAAACGAAATTATTTTGGGGAAAATATTTTTTTAAAGGAGTTTGCAAAAACCGGAAGCCTAGGAGGCGCCTAGTGGTCCGTGGTGTTAGTGTAGTCTAGAAGGGATCATGGTTGAGCTAACTAGGCCGGATACGACGCCTTGGAGGTGCCTTGTGGTCGTGGATAGTTAGTCAACCCTCCATTCGTGACGCCTTGGAGGTGCCTTGGGTCGGATTACACTAACGGTTTTAGAAGTTGAAACGGAAATGTTTCGGAAAATGGGGAGTAACATTTGCATATTGCACTTCATGACATTGTGGTAAACTTGTGATTGGATGGTATTTGTTATATACTTGTTATTGTATTTGAGTGTATGTGTTTCCTTATAGTATGATCCTTTTCACTTTTTTATCTATTCATTGTATGGATTCACGGGGATATAAGAAGTGTGTCTTAGACACTTCCTACTGAGCTTATGCTCACCCCATTATTTCTAACATTTTTCAGGACATGGAAAAGAAGTGGCGGACGACGATCCACCACAATTTTAGACGAGCATGGAAACCTATTTTATTTTATTTTTGCTATCTTTTGTATTAAAGCTCTCTAATATTTTGTAAATGTAATATTAACTAACTCGTAAAACTTTAGTTTAATTAGTATAATGTTGTAAGCCATGAACTTTTAAATTCTAACTACGCTTTTTGGACTGTAACTTAATGTAACCAAAGTATGTTCCTTGTTGGATGAGATGGAGGAATGGGATTTTGTATGTATGTAGTCACTTTGGAGATGTGATATAATATATGTATATTGCGTTGGGACAGGATATGTTAGATTTAAGGCCCAGTGAGGCCATTGTATTTATTTATTTTTTTTTTTGTATTTCAATAGGTTGTTTAGAAACATTTTCTGCGGAGGTCATGCCGAAATTTTTATAGATTTTTATTATTATTTTGGTATCCATTTGGGTCGTTACATTAACCCCGTCTTATTTAACATTGCTTTACCAACGAGCCAGTGCTCTAGCGATATCAACCTCTTACTTCCCAAAGAGAAGTCGATCAAAGGTTCAAGTCTAAGAAGAGACAAGTGTGTGTGAGTACCAACTAGGAAAAAAATAAAAAATAATAAAAATAATAATAATAAATAGAATAAAATAAATTGCTTTATAATTATTTGAGAGATTAATCTTTTTTAATTATTTTGTTAATGGACCACACGTGATGTCATCAATGACATCGCCAACCCTCAATTGGCCTATAAAAGAACATGCCTAAGGCCAAGAAAGAGGGAGAAAAGGAGTGAGGAAAATACCTTCTAGACATTGAGATCTCTAAGTCTCTCTCTCATGTAGGTTTTCTTCACAACCCTTAAACCTTGATCAATGGTATTTTTGTACATTGCCATCCTAATTCTATCACTTTCTCAATCTATCTCAGATTCCATCATGTTACAAAATATATGTCACCGGTTTGTTACTTTATTATGATTTGGAACCCATCATGAACCGACACCTAGATACCAAACACAGTACATAAAATCAGAACAAAATCTAAACTTCACATGCTTTATTCAGAGCTAGCTGGTGCATTTCAAGAAGTAAAAGTCCTGGAAATAACAAATTGAGTAGCAATCACTATATGTATATGCCGCTCTTGCAGGAAATCAATCACGTAGAACGGAATTCATGCATTCTCCCCTTTTTCTGCTAATGAAAATTTGGATTAAACAAAGCAGTTCACCTCACTGCTTTGTGCCGACACCTCACTGCTTGGTTGTATATTGCCCGCGCATTTTCCATCATCACTTTGTTTTCCTTAAGCGTCCTAGCTCTCCTTTCTCCAGATGGGTGAGTTGATAACCAATCCTCTTCGTCTTCGGAACCACCGAGCTGCTTATAAAATTGTGGTGCAACTTTAGGGTCATATCCAGCTAAAGCCATTAACATTAATCCAATGTAATCTGCTTCCATTTCCTTCCTACCAAAAATAAAAAATACAATTCAGAAAGAAGAAATGGAAACAAAGTGTGAAACTTGTACTTGTTTACCCCAATTGGAGGAAGTACAAAATATATAATAGCATATGAAACTATACATAACATTAATGTTAAGCATATATATTAACACATCTCACTTGGGGAATCAGAACCAAATTAATGGTATGTATATATACCTCCGTGATATGTACATAAATACTGGTTTTATTATCGCTAAGATATTGTGCACATGCATCAAATTACGTAAAAGGGCAAGAGTCCAGAGTATCATCGTCAACCCTTCTGAAATATGCCTTGCCACACCATGCCCAACCTGCGGATAAAATTAGAAAAACATCAACATAGAGAAAGATGTACAATGCAGTAGTACTATAGATTAATTTCAACAACAACAACAATTCGAATACGTACATACCTCGTGTCCTAGAAGAGTTGCTATCTCTGCATCTGAATTGAAACGGTTAAGCATCCCTGTATAAATAAGAATCTTCCCATCGGCGAAGTAGCTAGCATTTTCATTGTAAGATTCTTCCACCACCATCACTTCCCAATTCAATCCTTCCAAATGCCTAGTCCCCAATCTTATGATACATTTTTTCGGCCTCTTTTGGTTCTCCCGGTTTACACTTGATACAAGTAAAGTGCCTACAGATCCATGCCTTTCACTTTCAGGAACATACACAGAAACATTGCAGTCACGTTTAAGCCCTAAACCATTGTGCATTCCTTGAACTATCTCTCTCAATATTGACTGCACACGAACACTTTGTGGATGTGTTGCAGCAAGTATTTCCGCTTTGTGTTCCTCCGCCGTTTTCTTCCATACATACCGTCCTAAAAATCTTTCCAATTTGTTGGTGGATATGACCATATGGATTCGCCTCGAGTATGGAACTCTCTCCACACTCACAAACAGTATATTAAATATGATAAAGATTTCTATAAAACTATATTTCCGGGTTCGAAGCCATTGCCACCATGCTACTTTTGATATGTAAAGTTGAAGAGGTTTTGGGGTATAAACCTGAAGAGGGTATGGATTTGAATGGTAAAATCTTCTTCCACAACTAAGTAAAAGATGCGAATTGATATGTTTGAGACCATAAAAGCAGGCAAGAGATGACAACACATGAAATCTATTTATTACATATGAGCTTGCAGTCAAGGGACTGCGATGACAGAGCTTTTATATGGTGATAGACTTCTGAACCAGATACGGATGAGAGAGAAACAATCTTGTTCAAACATAAAGTACGTTGAGATAGGATGTACTTGAACAAGCCTTGATTTCAGGTAAGAGAAACCCATAACGTCGTTGATAAACCTATACAGTAATTATTCACCAATGAAAGAACAAAGTTATCTATTTAATGGATGCATTCCTTGTTTGTTAGGAGAAGACTTGCTAAAAAAGGAGTTTTAAACTCTATGAATACCAACAAAAGAAAACAAATTTTCCAAAAATGATCTCTTTCGAAAAAAAACTTGTTCACCAAGTTAAAGCGTCTCAAACAATATATTTCTCAATAAAATACACAACAATTTTATACATTAGGACGTGACAATACATCTTAACAGATTGTTAAAAATAATAATAATAAATTACACATCGTGGCTATGTATAAAAGAATTATAAAAAAAAAAAGGGGGAAATTGAAAAATACAAAGAAATCTCTGCCATCCTTTTTTATATTACACGCATAGAGAAACCATTCCTCAAATTGAGAATTAAATAAATTCACTGGCTTACAAAGACACAAACCGGAGAACTTCAAAGTGTTGGGATAACATGGTAAGCAAATACACCACAAAACATTAATAATTAGTTATGTATCAGTAACATAAAATATACGTGTTGGAGACCAAGTCAGAATTAGAAGCCAAAACTAGAGAAAATTGGACATTGATGATGGATAAATATTAATAATTAGTTATGTATCAGTAACATACAATACAAGTGTTGGAGACCAAGTCAGAATTAGAAGCCAAAACTACAGAAAATTTGACATTGATAATGGATAAATATTAATAATTAGTTATGTATCAGTAACACACAATATAAGTGTTGGAGACCAAGTCAGAATTAGAAGCCAAAACTACAGAAAATTTGACATTGATGATGTACTATTTATCCATCGTCTCTCCCTTCTCCCTTTTTTACCTACTGTTTACAGTATACAAAAACACTCCTATAGAATAAAAGACTCTGAACCTCAGAGTGATAAGACCTGGGTAAAAGTTTTGCAGTAACCAGTACTACCTTTTTTACAACAAAATAAAATAATAATAATAATAAAAATAAAAATAAAGGTAGCAGTACAACTGAGCTAGATTTCAATTTTGAGATATCCCTATGGATTAGATAAAGTTCTGACAGTAACACAAAATTGAAGTAATAATATCACTTGGTTTGAGTTTGACAAAGAGCGGACTCAATCGGCATTCAGCCATTTGCTATTGAAAATTTGGATTAAACAAAGCACTTGACCCCACTTGCTTGTATATTTTAAGTGCTTCTCCCATCACTTTGTTTTCCTCGAGCAACCTAGCTCTCCTTTCTCCAGATGGGTGAGATGATAACCAAACTTCTTCGGTGAAGCCCCGTGTCTTCTCCTCGTGTAGTGGTGCAACTTGAGGGTCATAACCAGCTGAAGCCATTAACATCAATCCAATGTAATCTGCTTCCAATTCCATCGTACCAAAAAAATATAAACACAAATAAATGATTAAAAAAATAAAAAAAATAAAAAAAATAAATTAAAAAGAAAAATAGGAGGAAAGAAGCATGACAGAAAAATGTGAAACTTGTAAGAGTTTACCCTAACTAGTGTAAACTTGCAAATAAAAAATCATTTTATATAATTAAGGCATGTGCTATCCTGTGCTATATAAATCAATTTGACATTGAGACAGCATTGTTAGGAAAACAAGGACTCTCGAGGAAGAAATTACTGTATATACTTATAATAAGCAGCTAAGGGGTAACTAAGACAATAAATTCAAGCATCCAAGAATGCCAAAACGTCATACAAGACTACAAATACCTCTAATTTACTCACTAACGCTCAGACACCCAAATTTTTATTTATTTATTATATATATTTTTTTATAAGCAAACTGATTTAATATTAAAGAAAACAAAACACTACAAAGTTACATGGGCCATACCACACAATAAAAAATGACCACATCCACCAATCAAGAATGAGAAAAGCTAAATGTCCGAAAATAAGAAGCCCAAAGGCAACTCAGAAACATAGCCAGCAAGAAGGAAAAGATACAAAACAAAGCCTAAAGGATGAGTTAACAGAGTACAAAGGAAAATTAAAGCTCCAAGAAAAATGCAATCTGCTACAGAAGGATGAACAAGGAATCAACTCAAGCCAATCAAGACACCAAATCTAGAGGCCATAAGAAAAGCTAAAACCAGACTGAACAGCCCTCTGCTTCAAGGAGAACTTGAGCTCAATAGTGTAACGACCCTAAACTGATACCATTTAAAAAAAAATTCGGCATGACCTCCCCTAAAAAAATGGGCCTACCACAACCTGTTTAAATGCATTTTTAACATGTCCCAATACAATAAACATATAATACATTCCAACATCCCTTTCATCCATTCACCATGCCTTAACTTAGTTCATTCCATAGTGATACAACCACATACTATATCATTCGAATAACATTGTTACAGTCCCAAAATACAAGATTAATATCAAATGTCCATATTTTACAACATTTAGACAGCTCATACAAAAGTTACAGCCCATAGGTATAATTATAATAACAAGATTTCACAAACCTCTATACCAAATATAACAAACTAAAATTTTCCAAAAATATGGGACTTAATACAAAAATAGCAAAAAGAAGTCTTCTAATCCAAATTAGGCCTGTGGTGGAAAGTCATCCGCCACTTCTTTCCCGTTTCCTAAAAAAAATTTAGAATATGATGGGGTGAGCTATACGCTCAGTAGGTGACACTTAAGACACTTTTCTTGTGTCCCTCTGAATCCATACAAAGAATAGGCCAATAGAAAATGGGGATCATACAATGTTGGGAAATAATACAACATTCCAACCAAACTCAAGTATAACCCACACGATGCCATGAAATGCAAATGCATGCCAATGTCACTCCCCATTTTCTGTTCTCAAACAGCACTTTCAAACTGTTAATATAACCCGCCCTTTGGTGACCCCGCAGCGACACGAGAGGAGGATTGGCTAGTGTCCCTGACCCTTGGTACCCCCGCAGCGTCATTATGGGGCCCAGCTAGCTCAACCACACTAGGGCGACTCCCTAATCCCCTCTAGGCTATATTAACACTCCGGCCCCAACTTATCCGCATAACTCTTCTGTCGGCTCTGAGCTGTAAGTAACCTCTGTCTTATTAACTTAATCTTCTCAGTAGTCTTGAGTACAATGTCGGGTCCTAAGACGGCTGTCTTGTCTAGCTCAATCCAACAAACAGGAGACCTACAAGGTCTACCATACAACGCCTCAAATGGAGCCATCTGAATGCTCGCCAGATAACTGTTGTTGTAGGCAAACTCAATAAGTGGAAGGTGATCTTCCCAACTACCACCCAAATCAAGCACACATGCCTGAAGCATATTCTCCAAAATCTGGATAGGACGCTCCGACTAACCGTCAGTCTGTGGATGGAATGTCGTACTCAGATGCAACGCTGAGCCAAACGCTGCTTAAAGTCCTCCCCAGAACTTCGAAGTGAACTTGGCATCCCTATCTGAAACAATGGTTACTGGAACTCTATGCAACCTTACAATCTCATTCACATAAAGAACACCAAGCTTCTCTGCATCATCTGTTGCCTTAATAGGCAAAAAGTGAGCCGTCTTGGTCAATCTGTCAATGATAACCCATAAGGCCTCATTGCCCCTCCGTGACCTTGGAAGACCTGTCACAAAATCCAAAGTGATATGTTCTCATTTCCACTGCACTACAGGCAATGGTTGCAATAAACCAGCTGGTCTCTGATGCTCGGCCTTCACCTACTGACAGGTAAGGCATCTAGCCACAAACTGTGCAATATCTTTCTTCATCCCGTTCCACCAATACTGACATCTCAAATCGTAATACATCTTGGTACCACCTGGATGAACTGTAAAGCAGGAAGTGTGAAACTCCCGTAAGACGTCCTCACGACAACCTGTGGAAACTACCAACAAACCCTTGAACCGTAGACCCCCATCTGCATGCAAGGCCCAATCTTTCACTGTCTCACCACTAGAGATCGAAGCGTGAATGACATCTAAATTCGGGTCCTGTATCTGTGACTCAATCACTCGTACAACAAGAGTAAGCTGAGCCACAAGACTAAACAAGAATGCCGGCTCGCTGTCAACATCGTCATCAAAATAATACAATCCCATCTCTGCCAAATCCTTAAGCATCTTTCACTTTCGACTAGCCAAACAGGCCAGAGTCCCACGAAATTTCTGGCTTAAGGCATCTGCTACCACATTTGCCTTGCCTGGAAGATACTGCAAGTTAAAATTGTAATCTTCCAAGAATTCAACCCATCTTCTGTGTCTATTGTTCAAGTCATTTTGGGAGAAAAGGTACTTGAGACTTTTATAATTCGAGTACACCTCGAATCTCTCACCATACAAGTAATATCTCCAACACTTCAAGGCAAATACCACTGCCGCTAACTCCAAATCATGAGTATGGTAGTTAAGCTCGTGAGTCTTCAACTGTCGAGACCCATAAGCTACTACTCTACTATCCTGCATCAACACATATCTCAAACCATTACGTGAAGCGTCACAATAAATCACATAACCCAAGCCACGCTCAGGTATCACCAACACTGGAGCTGTAATCAACCTTGTCTTCAACTCCTGAAAAGATAACTCACAGGCTTCATTCCACGTAAACTTGATCCCTTTCGGGGTCAAACGGGTCATTGGAGCTGTCAAACAGGAGAAATCCTTCACAAATCTCCGATAATAACCCGCTAGGCCAAAGAAACTCCGAATCTCAAAAATATTCTTGGGTTGCTCCTAATTCAAAACTGCTTCAACCTTTGATGGATCCACTGACACTCCACCTTCTGAAACAACATGCCCCAAAAATTTCACCTCCTGTAGCCAAAACTCACATTTCTCGTATTTGGCATACAATCGGTGCTCCCGAAAAATCTGTAAAACAATACTCAAATGGACCTCATGCTCCTCCTAAGATCATGAATACATGAGAATGTCATCCACGAAAACTACCACAAACTGGTCCAAGTAATCGTGAAAGATGCGGTTTATCAAGTCCATGAATGCCGCTGGTGCATTAGTCAAGCCAAAAAGCATAACAAGGAACTCATAGTGTCCATACCGTGTACGAAATGCTGTCTTTAGGATATCCTCATCCCTGACCCGTAACTGATGAACTCAAGTCAATCTTCGAAAAATAACTGGCTCCTCTCAACTGATTAAACAAATCATCTATCCTTGGCAAGGGATACTTGTTCTTGACGGTGGCATGATTCAACTTCCGATAATCGATGCACAACCTCAAAGAACCATATTTCTTCTTAGCAAACAAGACCGCTGTGCCCCATGGTGACACACTCGGTCGGATGAAACATTTCATCCTCAAATCATCAAGCTGCCTTTTTAATTCTTCTAATTCAACTGGTGTCATACGATACGGTGCCATAGAAATTGGCGCAGTACTGGGTATCAAATCAATAGTAAACTCCACCTCTCGGTATGGAGGCAACTCTGTCAAATCCTTCGGAAACACATCCAGAAAATCGCGAACAACTATAGGGTAACCCTTTTTCACAACATCATCTTCTTTGGTTAGAAGACTAGCCAAGAAATAATCACCATGACTCCGTCCACGAACTCCATAAAATGATGAAATGTGGGAATCACTCTGATCTCCCATGAAAAAAACAGTCTCCCTCAAAAGTGCAAACTGTGACTCTACCTCTAAAACAGTCGATCGTGGCACGAAAGGAAGCTAACCAATCCATCCCGAGAATGACATCAAAGCTAGTCAACTCCAGGAGGATAAGGTCAAACACAAAAGTCCGTCTAGCTATCACAATGGAACAATCCCTCACAACTGGGCTTAAAGACACTGAAACCCCAACTGGCGTATCAACATACAATACCCGATCCATGAAACTGACCTCTAACCCTGATGCAAGTGCAAATGATGATGATATAAAGGAATGAGATGCACCAAAGTCAAACAAAACACGGGCCCAATAACCAAACACTGGAAATATACCTCGAAGAATTGAAGATCCAGGAGATGCATCAGTCGGTGCAAGTGCAAAGACACATCCCTGCGGTGCATATGCCTGTGAACTACTAATCTGAACACCAGACTGTTGTGCCGACACAGTAGGAGTATCCCTCCTTGCTGGTCTTGAACCCTGAGAAGACACGGTAGGCTATGGTGGTGGCGGTGGTCTGAAACTTAACTGAACTGTAGCCGATTGTGACGGCCTCTGATGTGACCCTCTGCCACTACCAGTGCCTACTCCTCGAGTAGGACAATCTCGGATCAGATGGCCCTGTTGGCCACACCCATAACAAGCTCTCGGTGGCGCACAAACTGTGGTCGAGTTCATAGGACATCTGGACTTGTAATGTCTAGGCTGCTGGCACTGAAAACAAACGACTCCGCTCCTATCTGACCCAGCTGGCAAAGGAGTGGTAGGAGCGGATCGTGCAGACTGCTGCCCCTGAAACTGAGATGGACCACCCGTGTTCCTTTTCCAAGAAGATCCTTCTGAAGATGGCCCTGCACCCCTCTTTTGCTTCCACTGCTCTCTTCTTGCATCCTTATCTTTAATGTCAGCCTCCAGTATTAAAGCCCTTTCCACTACTTCAGAATAAACCTTAATGAACTGTGCTGTGATCAACGGTCTCATTCGATCATTAAGACCGAAAACAAACTTCAGAGTCTTGTCAACTTCATCTCTCACCATTTCTAGAGCAAAGCGAGAAAGTGAAGTAAACTTGTTCTCATATTCTGCCACCAACATATTGCCTTGGATAAGGTTATGAAACTGGTCCTTTAGCTCCCATCTTTTAGAAATCGAAAAATACTTTTCATAAAACAATTCCTTGAACTTATCCCAACTCATCTCCTCCACCTTGTACCGGCTCGTAACCGACTTCCACCATAGTTTGGCATCCTTAGCAAATTTATAAGTAGTTAGGAAGATCTTCAAATGATCCTCCATCACATCTAGTGAAATTAGTTGAGTCTCAACTTGATCCAGGCAGTCATCTGCTACAATTGGATCCGCATCGCCTTCAAACATAACTGGCATCAACTGGGAAAACCCCTTAATGATCTTGAGACGCTTCTAAGCTGGCTTCTCCTTAACTTGAACTGTAGGTTGTGGTGCCAACTGCGACTGAGCAGCAATCGTTGCCCTCATGGCATTTTGCAACAAACGATTCAACTCCAGTGCCACAGAACCTTCACCCACTTCTACGGGTGCTTCAACATTATCCCTCGTTGTGGGAACAACTCTCAAGGGAATCAAGTCCCTAAGAAGTGTGTCTTCATCATTTAGCTCCTCCGGATTGGAGCTGGAGCTCTCGCCAAAATCACCCATAGTCGGTCTAGGGCCAACTTCCCTGGTTTCCTCACGCCGTGACATCGTTCTATAAAACAAAGGAAACAATTCGATAACGATAACACTAAGGTCCAACCGTGAACAACCCAATGCAAAAAGATATTGTACAAACATTTAGCATGTAATACTATGTAATGAACACATTAATATAAGCATATAAGCACATAAGTACGTAAGCAAGTAAGCAGTTAAGCATGTTTTTTCATATAGCAAAACACTTCTGCAAATAAAGAAATAACAATGCAAATGACTTCCCAGACAACCCTAGGTAAGCCTCTATCCGTTGTCCTAATGGTATTCGAACCATCCGCTCTGATACCAAATTTGTAACGACCCTAAACTGATACCATTTTTAAAAAAAATTTACATGACCTCCTCTAAAAAAATGGGCCTACCACAACCTGTTTAAATGCATTTTTAACCTGTCCTAGCACAATAAACATATAATACATTTCAACATCCCTTTCATCCATTCACCATGCCTTAACTTAGTTCATTCCATAGTGGTACAACCACATACTATATCATCCGAATAACATTGTTACAGTCCCAAAATACAAGATTAATATCAAATATCCATATTTTACAACATTTAGACAGCTCATACAAAAGTTACAGCCCATAGGTATAATTATAATAACAAGAGTTCACAAACCTCTATACCAAATATAACAAACTAAAATTTTCCAAAAATATGGGACTTAATACAAAAATAGCAAAAAGAAATCTTATAATCCAAATTAGGCCTGTGGTAGAAAGTCATCCGCCACTTCTTTCTCGTTTCCTAAAAAAAATTTAGAATATGATGGGGTGAGCTATACGCTCAGTAGGTGACACTTAAGACATTTTTCTTGTGTCCATGTGAATCCATACAAAGAATAAGCCAATAGGAAATGGGGATCATACAATATCAGGAAATAATACAACATTCCAACCAAACTCAAGTATAACCCACACGATGCCATGAAATGCAAATGCATGCCAATGTCACTCCCCATTTTCTGTTCTTAAACATCACTTTCAAACTGTTAATATAACCCGCCCTTTAGTGACCCCCGCAGCTACACGAGAGGAGGATTGGCTAGTGTCCTTGACCCTTGGTACCCCCGCGGCGTCATTATGCGGCCCAGCTAGCTCAACCACGCTAGGGCGACTCCCTAGTCCCCTCTAGGCTATATTAACACTCCGGCCCTTTGGTATCCCCGCGGCGACCGGATTTTTCAAAACCGTTTCATCAAATCATTTTTCCCAAAATCTCATTTTTCATTTCCAACTCTTTCTTCCCGTTTCATGCCCAATGTAAGTGCATGAGTGCATCAATACCATGAATTTAATCATCATTTCACATTCAACTCTATTTAAGTAAGCAAGACATAATTTCGCAAGAATTTTTCAAGGGATTTTAACATGCACTTGTACAACAATGCATCTAGCACAACGAATATATATAAATCATCACATAAGTAAGAATTTTCACATAAAACATTTAAAACAAGTTCTCACATAACCACATACACATGCTATAATTTCTTTAAACTACAAATAGCATAAGTAAGCATGTCTAGCATCAAATTAGAAGATGTAATTCACATAGGAGCAAGAAACTTGTGAATTAAGAGCCCCTACCTCAAATTTGCACAAAACCCTTAAAATGGGTCTTGAATTTCGAACTCCAAGGAGGGCACCAAATCTGGAATTGTTCATATGGATGCGTAGAGCTTGTAGTGGGCTTCGTTTTGCCTCATACGGCACCTTAATCTGCCAAGAATTGAGAAAGTTACCAAGCTTCAAAGATTGGTTTACAAGAAGAAAAGAAAAATAAAAGAAAACTAGAGAGAGAGAGAAGCTACGGGAGAGAGGAAGAAAAAAAATGAGAAAGCAAAATGGTCTCTAGACCATTAAAGGTGAGTGGGTGGTGGGTCCCACCACCACCCTTTGACTTTTCTTTTTTATTTAAATTATACCACACACGCACAAATATATACACCTATGCACACACACACATATATATATATAGACACAGACATTACAAATAGATCAACCATAAAAAATAAAAATAAAAACCCAAAAAACTTGAAGAGGCAGGAGAAAAGGCATCCAACTAAGCAGAGTCGGAAATTTCAGCAGGTAAATTCCAGCTAAGTTTAATGTTCTTATTCAAATCAAAAGAAATAACCCTTCTAAAACTAGCTAGCTTAATCCTCACAGAGTCTTCAATCAGCCTAGTAATAGCAGAAGGTCTTTGGCAGAATTAGCAAGCTCTGTGACGCCCAATATTACCTAATTTCAAGAATACATATACAGATCCAAATTAATTTGTTTGAGACTAGTTTATAAAGAATATGGAAAATTGCACCTTAAGAATGAAACTATTCCAAAAATTGGCAAATTGGTAAACGGTTCTCAGTAATTCTATAATTATACTATACAACTGCGGAAGAATCATGGATAACTGTTGGTAGAATTATCTGATCTGGCAGTAGTCACTGCTACTTTGACAAAAACAACCTACATCCCTCTAACATATTAAACTTTTTTATATCACATATTTTTCTTACAGCTATTGCTTTCTCCATTTTGTCTTTCATTCTTGAATCTTACAAGTTACAAAGCATAAAACAAATGGAAAATCAGTAGGAAGAGGGTGGGGGTTGGGCTTATGTCCTTTTTCTTGAATGGTCAGGGAATATCACATATTATAATTTAGTAAATAAATTGGGAATTCTCTGTACATTTAATAATCTGTGCATATTTATTGAATTAGTAAGTTATACGCAAAGTTTGGTCACGAACTCTCAGCAAAAGAGCATAGGTAGAATGTGTATGATTAAACACAGTGAAAAGCTTAATATTTATCTACTTACAAAAAAAAAAAAAAAGTAATAATAAACATCAGGTTATATGGCATATGTCAAGACGTTAGGAATATTACATGATCAAAGTGGAATACACCTTTGTACCATTCATTTATCATAAAAGGCGAAATGATACAAGAAATTAACATGAAAGCATCCATTTGAATTTACTGACCCTATTTCCAAAAGATATTTCAGTTGTTTCGTGATAGTTCTATTAATTGAACCAAGTACGAAACAATAGCATATGAAACTATACATAACATTAATGTAATGCATTTTCATTTTCTAAACCATAATGTAAAGCAAATTAACACATCTCAATTAGTAGATCAGAACCAGATTGCATACCTCCGCCATATGTACCTATATAATAGTCGTATTAAAAATGGGAGTATCAGCAGATGACGGAGATACCATAATAGGGCACCAACCCTGTTGAAAATAAACTTGATTTCAGTATTTAGTATTTTCAAGTATTTGGTATACATGATGCATGTGTGCATTTCATGTTAGTAGGGTAGTAAATAACCTTGATGGTGAAGGTTATGTAAAATCAATAGGTGTAGGAATTAAACCTCCTAAATACTATATTAGTTGGAGTAGTGGGAGTTAAGCTTAAAGGTTATGTTAGTGTGAATAGTTAAGCACTTAAATGTAATTGTTACACCTATGTTCATATGGCTTATATATTCATGTACTTTAGTCAAATAATAGAAGGAGTGGAATAAAAATAATTTTTCAAGTATTCCTCCATACTATTCTCTTCCAAATATTATAGTGTTGTGTGCGTATCTAGGCCACTATTTCCAACAAAGTGGTATCAGAGTAAAGTCAGAAAGTGGTATCAAAGCAAAAGCCAACAAAGTGGTATCAGAGCCAAGTTCCATATCATAGCTAGGTTTGGTTTCATGTTCAGAGCCTAAATGATCCTGAAGGCCTGACGAATTTAATCCTAGAAGGTTCAACATTTTGAGAAGAACATGTTTCTCCTTAATGATGATGAAGAGGAGAAAATGTATTTTCTTAGTGAGAAGATGATGTTCTCTAATTACAAGAGAATGAGAATCATCATGACTTCATACCTCAAAACATGTGATTTGTGGGATGTTGTTGGAGAAGAGCCAAAGAATGGCATGTCCAACACGATTCGTGTGAAAAAAGAAGAGAAGGCATTGGTAGTGTTGCAAAAGGCAATACATGAAGAAATTTGGGAGTATTTTGGAGAGTCCAAAACTCCAAATTGTGTTTGGAAGATGCTCGAAACCATTGTTTCCAATCATAGAAGTGAATCACTACCCATGGAGTATTAGGTACAATGCTTTGAGGATGATGAGTTTACAAAGGCTGATTATGAAAGTCTTGAGGATAAAGGTGTGGAAAAAGAGGCGTACAATACAAATCAAGTTGAAGAATTTGAATAACAACGTGAAATGGTGAATGAGGAAGAGGTAAAGAAATGTGTTAAAGAAGGGATTAAAAAAGTGGAGGAGAATGAAGTTAAAAGATAAGACAAAGAAGAAGAAAGTGTTAAAGAAGATGCACAAGTTGATGAATTTAATGCATTAATATCTTCAGGTATGGTTTCAAATTCCAATTTCAAAGAAGTTAGATATAACTTATTTGATAACATTTTGATTTCTTCATATTCATCCCAATTGAAAAAAGAAATCAAATATTATGATAATTGTGTTCATGTTGTTGAGAATGATGAACTTTTCTTGGAGAAAGTTGTTTCAATGAAGTATGAGATTGAAGCTCAAGATGATAATAATTTCTCGAATTATTTTTTGAAAAATGGTTTGGAGAATTTTGTAAATGATATAGGTTGGGTGAATATGGAGTTATTTTTTTACTCTAAAGAAAAATCATATGTGAAGTTGAAGAGGCATGAAAAATTCAAGAAGAGGAAATATAGATGGTGCGTTTGTATAAAGAGGATGATATATGATTATTTGAAAACATCAAACAAGCATTTGAAGATTTTTCACAAGCCATATACATTAATGGAAATGGCAAAGAAGATTGTTGCGGTTGAAGGGGGTGGAAGTCAAGACAAAGTAACAAACTTTTGATCGAGCCCCCAAGATCAATAAGATGCTCACTTTCAGGTTATAAAATCAAGTTTAAAGAGGGGTATTGAAAATAAACTTAATTTTAGTATTTAGTATTTTCAAGTATTTGGTATACATGATGCATGTGTGCATTTCATGTTAGTGGGGTAGTAAATAGCCTTGATGGTGAAGTTTATGTAAAATCAAAAGGTGTGGGAATTAAACCTCCTAAATACTATGTTAGTGGGAGTAGTGGGAGTTAAGCCTAAAGGTTATGTTAGTGTGAGTAATTGAGCACTTAAATGTAATTGTTACACCTATGTTCATGTGGCCTATATATTCATGTACTTTTGTCAAATAATAGAAGGAGTGGAATAAAAATAATTTTCCAAGTATTCCTCCATATTATTTTCTTCCAAATATTATAGTGTTGTGTGTGTATCTAGGCCACTATTTCCAATAAAGTGGTATCAGAGTAAAAGCCAACAAACCCAGGGTGCAGTCATCAAGTGTTCTACCTTGTGCCTAACCACACCATGCCCAACCTGATTATAAAAAATAAAAATAAATAAATAAATAAAAAAGAAGAAGAAGGATGTACAAGTCACTAAAGACGTCCGTGTAGATGGATTTCAACAACTATTATTGGACTAAATCACACCCATACAGACATACCTCATGTCCTAGAACATATGATATCTCTGTATCTAAATTGCAAAAGTCAAGCATCCCCATATAAATAACAATCTTCCAGTTCTGGAGATGCCTAGCATTTATCTTACCAGATTCCACCACTATCACTTCCCAATTCAATCCTTCCAAATGTCTAGTCCCAAATTTAATGATATAATGATTTGGATTCTTTTGGCTCTCCTGGTGTGATGGGCAGTGTGGAGCCTGATAGATACTGTGCACTAAGACCCAACTTATGTGGAGGGTATTTTGGTTATTTCCGCACTTGTTATGTTACCCTAGTGCGAGGGTATTTATTCATTCTAAACTCTCTGTATCTGTAGCCGTTTTTATCATCATAGTGAAATCCCTGTAACCCTTGGACGTAGCCCTGATTTTTGGGTGAACCAAGTAAAATCTATATGTGTTCTTCTTGTGTGTGTGTTTGATCTATTTCTTGTATTTTTCTGTTTAAATTCGCAACAACTGGTATTAGAGCCATTAGGTTTTAGTGGGAGCGATGGGTACAGAAGAAGGAAAGATCGAGATCGACAAGTTCAATGGTGCAGATTTTGGGTTCTAGAAGATGCAGATTAAGGATTATCTGTATCAGAAGAAGCTGTAACAGCCTCTTTCTGGAGAGAAACCAGAAGAGATGAAGAATGATGATTGGGCTCTTCTTGATCGGCAGGCACTAGGGGTCATTCGATTGACACTGTCGCGCAACGTTGCCTTCAACATAGCAAAGGAGACGACAACATCAGGTTTGATGACTGCCCTATCAAATATGTATGAGAAACCCACTGCGTCTAACAAAGTATATTTGATACAGTGATTATTCAACCTAAGAATGTCAGAAGGCGCTTCAGTGACTGACCATCTGAACGAGTTTAACATTGTTACAACTCAGTTAAGCTCTGTAAAGATTGAGTTTGATGATGAGATTAAGGCACTACTTCTCTTATCCTCTTTACCAGAAAGCTGGAACGGTACAGTTACAGCAGTGAGTAGTTCTTCAAGAAAAAGAAAATTGAAGTTTAATGATGTTCGAGACTTAATCCTCAGCGAAGATATTCACAGAAGGGAAGCAGAGGAATCATCTGGATCTATTTTCAATACCGAGTGTAGAGGAAGAACTTCTGAAAGATCATACTTGAATCACAGTAAATCTAAATCCAAACGCAAAAGCAAGTCGAAAATTAGAACCTGCTGGAACTATGGAAAGAAGGGACATTTAAGGTTTGAGTGTCGATCACCAAAGAAGAAGAGCGAATGAAAACAGGAATCTGTAAACGCCTATAATACCTCTACTTTTCAAAAGGATAAAATGGGAATCTAATTTTGATTTTTATTGCATTTTTATTTAACTAAGTGACTTATGTGCTTATTTGACTTATTTGACTAATTGTGTTCATTGTATTTGTTTAAATTAATTGATTGATTAATTGTAATTAGAAATTATTTATTTGCTTTATTTAATCGGTTAATTTTATATTGTTATCTATTTATTTTATTTGTCTGTGTCACTTTAATGATTTAATTGAGATTTAATTTAGTTAATTAAAATTAGGTTAATTGACGTGTGTTTTAGAATGACTAAATTGGTATATTTTCTATGG